CAAGGCGCCCCGCGAGGTTCGAGTGCCCGGGAGGCCACGAGCGGGCTTCAACGGGACCAGGTGGCCCAACGATGGCATCGCCGACTCCAAGGCCGCCCGAGCCGTTCCGGGGAAGGAAGGCGGGGGAGGGACAGGCGCCTCCCCCCCTTGGGACCCCCGAGCCCTCCAAGGTGTTGGATCCCGAATGGTCCCGTAGCCCGCTGACCCTCGCACGTAGCCCCACTTGCCCCGCCAGCCCACGCCCCCTAACACGGGACCCGCCCCCCACGTCCCCCGGAGACCCCCTCGGGATCCCCCTGGGCGGCCCCCTGGCCCCCCCCCTGGGTCCCTCCTCTGGGAGGGAACGGCTGGTTTCGCCGACGGCTGGTTTCGCCGACGGTTGGTTTCGCCGACGGCTGGTTTCTCCGACGTTGGTTTCGCCTGGCTGGTTTTGCCGACCCGCCCGTCAGTTTCGCCCAGCTGGTTTCGCCGACGGCTGGTTTTGCCGACGGCTGGTTTCGCCGACGGCTGGTTTCTCCCGACTGGTTTCGCCGACCCAGCCGCTGGTTTCGCTCGTCTTGTTTTGCCGACCCGTCCGTCCCGTCGCCTCCGTCGTCGTTCGTCGTCGTGGCCGTCGTCGTTCGCGGTCGTCGTCGCCGTCGTCGTCACCATCGCCGTCGTCGTCGTCGTCGTCGAAGCCAGGAGGACCCAGAGGAGGAGCAGGAATAGGGAAAGAGATGGCGCCGTCGAGGGAAGGCGAATCATTTCGGCGGCACCGCACCGAGGAACGCTTTGCAGAAGCTAGCGGTTACGGTTTCATGTGTACGTGCACGCTTGCACATGTCAGGCAGTGAATGGCGACGAAAAGCTTTCGTGTGCCAGCACATTGGCCCGCTCGTGGCTCAGGTGCCCCGGTGCGCAATTTGAAAAAAAGGCAAGCCACGCGGATGAATGCCAAGCAAACCAACGCAATGTCAAGCAATGCCGTAAAGTACAAAACATTGCCAAGCCGAGGATGCCATGTTGCAGCGGGTCGCAACGGGGCAAGCGAGAGTAAACAATTCTTGGGGAATGTACCGAGATTCGGGTCAGTTTGGTGGAAAACGCCGCGTGGGCCTTGTTGGGGCCCTGATGGGCTGGCTTGGAGTCCTTTCGAGGCGTCCTGGGGCCATCTTGGGCCGTGTTGGGGAGCTTCGGCCTTCTAGGGACCTTGTGGGGGCTGCGCGGGCTTTCGTGGTGGCCTCCCATGGCCTTTCAGGGGGCCTCCCATGACCTTCTTGGGCTTCTCTCGGGGGCCTTGTGAGGGCCTGTTGGGCCTCTTCTTGGCCCATGTGACTGTGGGGTTTCCTTGGGCACTCTTGGGGCCATCCAGGCCGTCTAGAGGCTCTATTGGGGATCTCTTGGGCCGTTTTGGGGCGATGCAGGAAACGTCTTTGGTTGTTTAGGATGCTGTTAACACCCGAACTGCGAATATGCTGAACATGCACATTTCCCTACAAAGGAGTGCAACGATTTGTGCGTTCTGGGAGTCGTGTTCAGGGCCTCCTGGGCCGTCTTCGGGGTCTATGGAGGCTATTTGGGTCTTTCTTGGACCGCTCTTGTGCTATCTTGGGTCTCTCGTCGGCCTGTCTGATCACCGCTCTGATCGCCTGGGGTCTGTTGGCATGACCCAGCCAAACGCCCTGGGACGTCCGGGACGAGCCGGGGGACTTTTGGCAAGGGTGCCCGGGGGGGGCCGAAACCTCGCAGCCTGTTGGTCCCGTTTTTTGGTGTGTGTGTGTGTGTGTGTGTGTGTGTGCGTCTGTGTCTGTGTCTGTGTCTGTGTCTGTGTCTGTGTCTGTGTCTGTGTCTGTGTATGTGTATGCGTGTGTGTGTGTATGTGTGTGTGTGTGTGTGTGGGGTTTCCCTCCCCTCGGTTTCTTTATACATATAGGAATAGGGACATATGTATATACATTTTTGTTTTTTTTCCCCCCCTCTCTCTCTCTTTCCCTCCCTCTCCCTCTCTTTCTCTCCCTCTCTCTCTTCCTCCCTCTCCCTCTCTCTCTCTTTCTCCCTCGTTCCCTCTCTTTCTATCTGTCTGCTCGTATGTCTCTCTCTCTCTGTCTATGTGTTCTTGGAGTATCGTACCATGTGCCAGACGTTGTGCCCCTCCCACCCCTCCAGGGAGGCTCCGCCAGGCTGCGGCAGGGTATTCGAGCACCATACTACTTCCCTGTTTTCGGGTCCCTCCCACCGTTTCAGGGAGTCCCCGCCAAACCGCGGCAGGATATTCGGATACCATGCTATTCGCCAGGTTTCGTGCCCCTCCCACCCCTCCAGGGAGGTCTCGCCAGACCGCGGCCGGATATTCAGACACCATACTATTTGTCCTGTTGCGTGCCCCTCGAGCTACTTCGAGCCCTCTTGGAGCCATCTTGGGCAGACTGAGTTTTTTGGACCGCTCGCGAGGGGGGCCCCCTCGAGACCCGGAAGAGGGGAGGAAGTAGACGAGGACAAACCTTTCCCCGAGGGGGGAGATTTCCGGAAGAGCGATCCACCAACAGTGGAGGGCGGGATTCGACGAGGAGGGGAGAGTGCGTCCTGAACAGCCGTCCTCTTCCTCCCTGCTGATTCCTCTCCTTGCCTTCGTCGGCCCTTCCAGACGACGATCTCCCGTCGATCTACTTGTCATGATTTTTGTCGCTCATGTTGTGCCCCATTGATCCCGCGCGCCCCTTGGCATATTTATGTGGGGACCCCCGATCGCATAATTTATCAGCCTGTATATATATATATATATATATATGTATACATGTATATGTATACACATTTTTTTTTTTTTCTCTCTCTCTCTCTCTCTCTTTTGCGGTTCTGTTTCACTAAGTTTCCAATGTGCATGAGTACTTTCTCTCTCTGCCTCTCTCTCTCTCTTCTCTCTCTCTTCTCTCTCTCTCTTTCTCGTCTCTGTCTTGCTCTTAACATTCTAGGTGTATATATATATATGTACACACATATATGTATATCGCCCGCGCTCTCTCTCCTCTCCTTTTCCTATTTCTCATTCTCTCTCTCTCTCTACTACCCGCTCTCTCTCTCTCTCTCTATCTGTCTCTCTTTTTCTCCCCCTCCATTCTCTCCTGCTGTCCCTTGTCTCCGCCTCCGCCCTCTCCCCTCCCGGCTCCCTGCACCATTTCCTCCCCCCTTTCCCCCCTTTCCCCTCCTGCTGCCTCGCCGCTCCCTTCGGACGCCTTCCTCCGCAACCTCTGCTCCCTCCTCCCCTCGCCCTCGCCGTTTCGGCCCGAGTCCGCCTGCCACCGCCACCAGGGCCCTCACCTCCTGCCCTCCCTTCGGCGGCGAGCGAGGGGGGGGGGAAATGAGAAGGAGAGGGCCCTCTCAGAAGGCGGCGGGGCTTCGCAGAAGCCCTCTGGCCTTGTGAGAGGTTTTCGTTGTCTTCTCAGCAGGCCGGGGGACATCCGAGCCCTCTGAGAAGGCTCGGCCCTTCTTTCACTTCGCGACAAGATTTGTGATGCTTCAACCTGCATCAGCATTGATCACCAGAATTTCTTTCCGAGCACCAGGGAAGTACCGACATTTTGGGGTTTTCACGTGTCGGGCCCTGGGAAGCGATATTCGTTGGACACTGTTTTGGTATTTTTCTGGGTGATCGAAATTATTTTTGGGATGTGGTCCTCAATTACGATGGGAACTACATAAGACTTGACGTGAGAGTGACCTTTCGCCGGAGTGACCTGGGTGCGGGCCCAATGAGGCCCCCCGATCGTCGAACGCGATGCGATAGTAGCTTCTTGTGCGCTTGTGCTTGGCCCCCCCGCGGTCCCCCCCAAAGCCAGCGCACCAGAGGTCCCTCTTACCCAGGGCCACTTGCGTTAAGTCGGGCCTGTCCCTCTACAGGGGGGATATTCAGAAATAGTAAAACATAGTCTGGGGACTATTTTGCGAGCATTAAAAAAATATGTTCGGAGCATTTTTCTAGTATCTTTTATGTTTCGTCGAAAATCCCCCTGTAGGGGCACACGCCCGAACACTTGCGTGTGGTCGACTTTTCCCCCCCGTTCTGGCTCGCCGCCGATCCCCGAGGACCAACACGCCGGCACGAGCGCCAGCTCCAGGACCTCGCCGAGTCGGCCGCTGGGCGTCCCCCCCCCCCCAAGCCCCCCTCCCAGTTGAGTCCATGGCCCCCTCGTGCTTCCGCGGGGTGCCCCTCTCGCCGGCAGCCTCGAGCAGCGCGCCTCCCCAGCACCTCGAGCTTCTGTCCCTGAAAGGGCCTCCTCCGTGGCCGCCTCCACTCAACTCAGCGAGCGAAGAGCGGTACAACAGAAACTTTTTCGCTGTCGGGGGCGCCTGTCCCTGGGCGGCTGGAAAGTTTATACCCTTGCGGTGGCACCGTAGGGGTATAGACTTTCCAGCCGCCCAGGGACAGGCGCCCCCGACAGCGAAACAATTCATGTTATACCGTTCTTCGCCCGTTAACCAACGCCCCCTCCCTGGGGAAACCAACAGTCGGAGGCGGACAGACCTCCTACCCTGACACGTCGACTAGCGAATTGGCCGTTTTCGGTTCGCGAGAGTGCGTCGCGGCCGCCATTTTTGCGGGTCCAGGTCCTTTGGTATCGGCCCCAGGCCGTACATGGAGGTTTGTCCACCGCCGAGGGAAACCAAAAGGTACCAATACCGCTACTCCCGGGACCTCTCCACGGGCGCGTTCTGACCAGGATTGCAAGGCGAATCCAACGGCGGGGACGAGGGGCTCCCAGGAGGCCCGAAAAGGGGAAAACGGGGCGAGGGTAGCGGTGTCGGTGCCTTCTCTTCCTCCGACTCCCCGCGCGGGGGGAGCGCGCCGGGGAGGGTGGCGGGCCAGCGCCGCTCGGACCCCTGGACGCCCAGCTTCCCCCGCAGGGGGCGCGGAGAGGGCCGCGCCCCCCGCGCGCCTCGCGGCGTGGGCCGCCAGGAGGCGCCCTGCTCCCGGGGCGGCCTCGCGAGGGCGCGAGGAGGAGGCCCGCGCGCCGCGCTCTCGCGGGGGCGCGTGCGGCACTCCGCGGAGCTGGTTGGCCCCAGGGCGCGCCCACGCCCGTGCCGTCGCTTTGGGCCCTCGGCGTCTGGCACACTGCACAGTACGTATACATATGCCCGGCTGCCTGCGGCGAAGCCCCTTCGCCGTGCCAGTGCAGTGCTCTGGGAGGAGGGGGAGGGAGGAGGGAGGAGGGAGGAGGGAGGAGGAGGAGGAGGAGGAGGAGGAGGAGGAGGACGAGGAGGAGGAGGAGGAGGAGGAGGAGGAGGAGGAGGAGGAGGAGGAGGAGGGGAGGAGGGAGGAGTCGGAGGAGGAGGAGGCGGAGGCGGAGGCGGAGGCGGAGGCGGAGGGGGAGGAGGAGGAGGGCGGAGGTACGAGGAGGAGGAGGAGGAGGCGGAGGAACGAGGAGGAGGAGGAGGAGGAGGAGGAGGAGGAGGAGGCGGAGGATGAGTGTGTATCCTCTGGCGCGCAGCCGTCGTTACCCAGGCCCGCCCCCCCGCGTAACGGTAACGGTAACGATCGTACGTGGGGGGGGGGCTGGAACCTCTCCGTGACCCCAAATGCTGGTGCTCGCGCGTACAAGGGTGATCGCAGCGCGCCCCCGCCCCGCCGTGCCGCACCCCGTCCAAGCGTTGCCGTTACGCAGGGCCCCAACCCTTCCCGGACCCTTCCCCCCGGGGGCAACGATGATGGGCCAGTTTTACCACCACACCACCACCACCACCACCCACCAACCACCCCCACCACCACCACCCACCACCACCACCACCACCACCACCACCACCACCACCACCACCACCACCACCACCACCACCATATGATGTAAGACCGGCCCGACGCGGAGATCCCCATAGGAGGCCTTCCAGAACTATCTCTGCCTTCGAGGGTCGAAGGAGTGGCCCTTTCGTCCTGGGCGGGAGGCGGCGGAGTGTCGGCGCAGGGCGGCGGAACTGAGCCGAGGGCGGCTCCGCCGGCGAAGGGCTGGCGGAAGGCTGGCGGAAGGCGGCAGAAGCAAAAGATGCGCCCCCCCCCCCCCCACTTGGGGGGGCGCATCTCTTGGGGGCCCCAAGAGATGGGAACGTCTTCGGGTTCCGGGCATCCGGACTCTAGTCATACGTGCATCTCGTTTTCCTGGCACGTCTCGCCATGAGTGTCTGGCTGCGAGGTTCTGCCTGGCCGTATCCGCCTGCACCAGTCCCCGCGGTGCCAGCTCCGAGGCCTGACGTCGTGGACGCGCCCTCCTTGCACTCCTTGCCAGGCCTCCTCCTTCTCCCTTCTCCCCGTCCCTCGTCCTTCCTTCCTGCTCTTCCTTTATCCTCCTCCGATTTCCTCGCTCTTCCTCCTCCTCTTCCTCCCTTGTCCTCCTCCGATTTCCGTTCTCCTCCTCCTTTTCCTCCGCAATCCTCAACTTGCTTCGCGACTGGGGTCATTCACCCACTCCTCCACAATCCCCTGGCGGTTTCGTATGGGTGGCTGAAACCAGCGCCTCGCTCGAGACATCCTCACAATCTGCTCTGAAAGCAGAAGGTGCTGTGCACACAGGCAGGCAGACCGCTCGCGACATCTCCGCAGTCTGAGCCCTAACGGGCCCGTGAGAGCACCCTGGCGGCTCCTCCTTGGAGTGCTGCAACCAGCGCCTCGCTCGAGGCATCCATCCTCACAATCTGTTTTGAATAGCAGAGGATGTTGCGCACCCAGAAGCAAGCGACGCGCCCGAGATATCCCGCAATCTGAGCGCGAGCGGGCCCGTGAGAGCACCCTGGTCTGAGGGTGAGTGAGTCTGACTGTGCTGAGTGGGCCTGGGTGAGGAATAGGAATGATGAGGGGGTGCGTGTGAGTATGAGTGAGTCTGAGCGTGAGTCTGAGTGTGAGTGAGTCTGAGTGTGAGTGAGTCTGAGTGTGAGTGAGTCTGAGTGTTTGTGAGCCTCAGTATGATGGAGTGAGTCTGAGTGGCGCAGAGGAGTATGATGTGAGGAGTCGGAGGCGTCTAAATAAGAGCAATCATTCCATCTCGGGATATTTGGAAAAACGTCATCGAGGCAATTGTTCGAGGGGCGACAGGAGGTTGTAACATGTGGATCGAGCGGCGTTACGGGTACAGTGTGCGTTGACGGTTGGAATCACGATCTTAACGCTGTCACATATCACACCTCGACCGTCTTGAGTTTACCTTGGATCATCGGAAGTCGTCCTGGAGCGGGGACAATGAAGGAAATGATGTCGGGGAAAGGGTATCAAGAGGAGGAATCTTATGATGCTGTTGAATACGATGTTGATGGTGGTGATGATGATGCTGACGATGACGGTAACGATAACGATGACGATGCCGACGACGATAATGTCGACGATGCTGATGCTGACGATGGTGATGATGACGATGATGGTGACGACGATGATGCTGCTGCTGATAATAATGATTATGATAACGAATTTGCTGATGCTGATGCTGATGCTGATGCTGATGCTGCTGATGATGACAGTGATGCTGATGCTGGTGATGATTTTGACGATGATGTTGATGTTGCTGCTGATGCTCATGATGATGCTGCTGCTGAGGATGATGATGATGGTGGTGGTGATGCTGATGAACATGATGATGCTGCTGATGCTGATGCTGATGAAGTTCATCATGCTCACGCTGTTGATGGTGATGCTGGCGATGCTGCTGCTGCTGCTGATGATTATGCTGATGATGATGCTGATGACGATGCTGATGCTGATGATGATGCTGATCAGGATGATGATGATGATGATGATGATGATGATGATGATGATGATGATGATGATGATGATGATGATGATGATGATGATGATGATGATGATGCTGATGCTGATGATGATGATGATGATGCAGATTTGGATGCTGATGATACTGATGATGATGCTGATGATGATGCTGTTGCTGATGCTGCAGACGATGGTCTTGATGATGATGCTGATGATACTGATGCTGCTGATGCTGATGATGACGATGATGCTGATGCTGATGCTGCTGATTATGGTTTTGATGGTGATGCTGATGCTGACGATAAGGTTGATGCTGATGTTGATGCTGATGCTGCTGCTGATGGTGATGGCGATGATACTGAGGATGATGATGATGCTGATGATGATGAGGATGATGATGAGGAGGAGGTTGATGTTGATGATGCTGATGCTGATGATGCTGATGATGATGCTGCTCCTGATGTTGGTGATGCTGCTGATGATGCTGAGGATGATGCTGATGCTGATGCTGATTCTGATGCTGATGCTGATGCTGATGATGATGCTGATGCTGCTGCTGCTGCTGCTGATGATGATGATGATGATGATGATGATGATGATGATGATGCTGATGCTGATGCTGATGCTGATGCTGATGCTGCTGATGATGGTTTTGGTGGTGATGAGCTGCTGCTGCTGCTGCTTCTTCTGCTGCCTGTGCGCTGCTGCCGAGGAGAAGGAGGATGAGGAGGTGGAGGAGAAGGAGGTGAAGGATGAGAAGGAGGAGAAAAGGAGGAGGAGCATCGTAGTGAACGCCTGCGATGTAAACACTATGGCGGTGATGACGTTGAGGGGGAACTCATTTGGACCGCCTTGGGGCTGTCTTGGGCTCCTGTGGGGCAGTCTTGGGGTTCCTTTGGGCCGTCCTTCGCCGTCTTGGGGTCCTCTTGTGCCGTCTTGGCTCGCTCTTGAGCTGTCTTGGGGCCCCTCTGTCTGGCTGGGATGTCTCTTGAGACCGTCCTGTAACCGTCTTGGGCCGTCTAGCGGTCCTCTACGTCCGTCGTGGGTCGGGTCCCTTTGGAGGCCCTCTTGGGCAAGCTTTGGGCTCTCTTGTGGCCGTCCTGGACCGTCTAGAGGGGCCCTCTTTGGGCCTAGTTTTTTACGATCGATCGTGGTCTCGGGACCGTGGAACCTGTGCCTCTCACGAGGGAACGTGGCCTCGGGAGCACGGGCGCATTGTTTAAAACAAGCGATCATGGCCTCGAGAGCGCGGACCAATGTTTTTTTTTGGAGCGTGGGCCCAGCGTTTTTTACGGTGAAAGGGGGTTTGGGGTGGGAGGGGGGGGGGGGGGACGATGCATGCGACCGAGCGCTGCCCCGGGCGGGGGTTGTCCCCTACAGGATTGCAGAACTCCGACGTCGTGTTTCTTTCACAGCGTGGCCACCCAGAGGTCTGGACCCCTTCCCCAGGACCGTCTCTTCATCCCGAGTCGTTTTTGACTACCCCGGGGCCGGGTGAAGGCCCCGGGAGCCAGAAAATTGTCCGACGCCCTCCGTCGTGTTTTTTCAGCGCGCGGCCCCAGGGATGTCCCGATCACTTCGCAGGGGGCCAGTGTTTCGCCTTGGACTCGTCTTCTTCGGTGGTGCCGGGGCCCGGCCACGGGCCCTGGAGGCCGAAGTCGGGGAAGAAGACGCCCGGACTGAAAAATCTGAGCTCGGGGCACCTCTCCTCCGCCTCCTCCTCCTCCTCCTCCTCCTCCTCCTCCTCCTCCTCCTCCTCCTCCTACTGCAAGGGTCATGGCAGTAACTCCTCCTCCTCCTCCCTCCTCCCTCCTCCTCCCTCCTCCCTCCTCCTCCTCCTCCTCCTACTCCTCCTCCCTCGTCCTCCTCCCTCGTCGTCCTCCTCCTCCTCATCCTCTCTCTTCTTCTCCTCCTCCTCCTCCCTCCTCCTCCTCCTCTCCTCCTCCTCCTCCTCCTCCTCCTCTCTCCCCCCATCTTCATCCTCAGATTTCCTCTCCTCCTCTTCCTCCTCCTCCACTCCTCCTCCTCCTCCTCCTTCTCCTCGTCCTCCTCCTTCTCCTCCTCCTCTCCTCCTCCTCCTCCTCCTCCTCCTCCTCCTCCCCCGTCCTGCTCACTCCTCCCTCCTCCTTCTGCTCCTCCTCGCCCCTCCTCCTCCTCTGCTCCTCCTCCTCCTCCTTCTCCTCCTCCTCCTCCTCCTGGGCACCCTGCCAGACAGCCCTCGGCATCCTGCCGCGCCAACGCGTGCCGTGGCGGGGCCGCGGCGGCGGACCCGGGGCGATGGTGTCCGCGAGCACGCTGCGCGCCGGCGCCGCCCTGTGCCTGGCCCTCGCGGCGCCCGCGCGGGGCCTGCAGGTGCCCGCGGACGGCCAGAACGCGTCCCTGGAGCTTCACGAGTGGCCCTGGAGCAGGCGCAAGGCCGTCCATCCTCCTCCCTCCTCCTCCTCCTCCCTCCCTCCTCTCTCCCTCCTCCTCCTCCCTTCCTTCCTCCTCCTCCTCCCTCCTTCTCCTCCTCCTCCTCCTTCCTCCTCCTTCTTTTCCTCCCTCTTCCTCCTCCCCCTGTCCCTGCTCCTCCTGCTCCTCCTCCTCCTCCTCGCCAGCATGTGGTTCCCTCCCCATGGTGCGCGCCGCCTACCCCCCCCTTGCTTGCTAGCGCGCAACCTAAGGATAAATCGAGATTTTTAGACTCGGCCCATTCCTGGGAACAGCACAGATGCGAAATCGATGCGCAAGAGAAGGACCCCGAGGGGAGGGGGGGGCAGTGCGCGCAGGGGGGCGGGGGCCTACGTCCCTGGAGGGCGCAAGAAGAGGGGGTGGCCAGCGAAGTCCGAGCTCATGATCCGCGCCGCCTCCTCCTCCTCCTGCTCCTCCTCCTCCTACTCCTCCATCCTCTTCCCTTCTAGGAATCACTCCTCCCCGACGCACCCCCAGTCGTGTCGGTAGGGCTGGCCGGGTTTTTCGCCGAGGAGGAGGAGGAGGAGGAGGAGGAGGAGGAGGAGGAGGAGGAAGAGGAGGAGGAGGAGGAGGAGAGAGGAGGAGGAGGAAGGAGGAGGAGGAGGAGGAGGAGGAGGAGGAGGAGGAGAGGAGGAGGAGGGGGGGGGGGAGGCGGGGATGGAAGTTGGAGAAGGAGCAGGAGGATGGGGATCAGGAGGAGGAGGAGGAGGATGAAGAGGAGGAGGAGGAGGAGGAGGAGGAGGTGGAGCAAGAGGAGGAAGAGGAGGATGAGGAGGAGGAGGAGGATGAGGAGGAGGAGGAGGAGGAGGAGGTGGAGATGGATGATGATGATGATGATGATGATGATGATGATGATGATGATGATGATGATGATGATGATGATGATGATGATGATGATGATGATGATGATGATGTGATGATGGATGATGATGATGATGATGATGATGATGATGATGATGATGCTGATGATGATGATGACTGATGCTGATGATGATGATGATGATGATGATGATGATGATGATGATGATGATGATGATGATGATATGATGATGATGATGATTGATGATGTGATGTGTGATGATGCTGATGATGAGGATGATGATGCAGATGATGATGCTGATGACGATGATGCTGATGCTGATGATGATGACGATGATGATGATGATGATGCTGATGATGATGATGATGATGATGATGATGATGATGTGATGATGATGATGATGATGATGATGATGATGATGATGATGATGATGATGATGATGATGCTGATGATGCTGATGATGATGATGCTGATGATGATGGCGATGACGATGATGCTGATGATGATGATGATGATGATGATGATGATGATGATGATGATGATGATGATGATGATGATGATGATGATGATGATGATGATGATGATGATGATGATGATGATGATGATGATGATGATGATGATGATGCTGATGATGATGATGATGATGATGATGAGGAGGAGGAGGAGGAGGAGGAGGAGGAGGAGAAGGAGGAGGAGGAGGAGGAGAAGGAGGGGGAGAGGGAGGGACCACCGCGTTTCCGCGGGCTCGTGCCAGGCTCGGAACTCTTGGGTGCGTGTTGGGCTCTAGGCCAGGCTTGTGGAGGCCAACACACATCGAGACCTGTTCCTCAGGGGAGGAAAAGGTACCCATACCTCTGCCCTTCGCTCGTTTTCCCATTTGTGTGCCTCCTGGGTAGCCCTCGTCGCCACCGCTGGATTCGCCTCGAATTTCTGGTCAGAACGCTTCCTGGGAGAGGTCCAGGGAGTAGCGGTATCGGTACCCTGTGGTGTCGCCAGTTCCAAGATGGGGTTGTGGAGGTTTCGTGGCATGTCTCCACGCCAGGAGAGGGCAAAGTGCCCTACACCGCTACCCTTTTTTGGGGGCCTCCCAGGAGGCCCTCTTCGCCGCGGCTGTCTTCGCTTCGAGATTCTGGTCAGAACGCACCCCTGGAGTGGTCCGAGGAGTGGCGGCATTGGCCCCCAGCGACCGATGTAGAGTCAGGAACATATGCTTCGCGTTTCGCGCCGCCGGTTCTCATTCACCACGCTTCGCCTCGATGCGCCAATCACGCCCCAGTCCCCCGTCGTCAACGTCCCGAGCTCCTCCCATCTCTCCGCCCCGCGGAGCGGAGCGACACGCCATCCGCTTGCAAAGCATAGGGTGCTGCTGGGGCCGCCGCCGCGACATGCTAAGCAGAAGTGGTTCACTGTATCCAGAGACGTCGGGAGAAGTCGTGGAAGTTCCAGCGCGAGTCGAGGGGCGACAGGAGTCGCTCAGCCCTCAGAGCGTGGCGCAGGGCTTGCCCCCTCCCCGAGAGGCCGCTGGCGCTGCCGCCGCGAGGGCGCCTGCCGGTACCGGCAAGGTGCTCCTGAGCACCATGACGTTCCCCGAGGACAACCTGCCGCTGGACATCACCGTCGCCCACCAGGCGGGCCCCCCTGTCGCCGAAGTTCGCCCAAGAGGCCTCCAGGATGGCCCCAGAACGGCACAGGAGGCCCCCCAGACGGGCCCCAAGGAGCTCCAAGACAGCCCACGAGGGCTCCACGACGCCTAAGATGGTCTCGAAGACGGCCCTTGAGCGCCCCAAGTAGGCCCCAAGTCGGCCCAGAGAGGCCCCCAAGACGGCTTCCGACGGGCCAGGAGGCCACCAGGGCAGCCAAAGAGATCCCCGAGAAGCCCCCAAAGGCATCCAATAGGCCCAAGGATTATGATGTTCCAAACTACTTTAGTCTTGATCGCCAGAAAGAACATCGAGCACCAAGAAAGTACCGAAACTTGAGGGTTTTCACGCGTCGGGCCCTGGGCGGCGATACTCTTTCGACACTGTTTCGATATTTTCTGGGTGCTCGAAATTGTTTCTGGGATGTGGTGCTTAAATACGACGGGAGCAACATAACCCAAGGATGTACCCTTTGGGATGCCACTCCTGGGGGGTTGCTTGTTCGCATCGGCGCTGGGGCTGTTCCCGTCAGCATGGCTTTATCGGACCCTATCAGGGCTGGCCTGTCCGAGAGACCCCGCAATTTGGCTTCACGGTCTGTAACCATTCTTACGAAGACCTCCCAGCACTTGCCTCCTTGTGCCCCGATCTCTGGCGATATGATTGGTTCGGTCCTGGCGATATCGGGCCCTGGGGCTGTCAAATATGGTTCCGGAGCGAAAGCTACCGCAATGGAAGGGGTCGAGATCTCTGGGGCCGCGCATTGAAACTATCACATCGTCGGATGCCCCTGTACAGAGACAGCGCCTCCTTCGCCTTCCTGATCCAGGAAAGGGCAGAGAGAAGGAGGAGGAGGCGGAGCATGAGGAGGAGGAGGAGGAGGAGCATGAGGAGGAGAAGGAGGAGCAGGAGGAGGAGGAGGAGGAGGAGGAGGAGGAGAAGGAGGAGGAAGGGGATGAGGATGAGATGGTAGGGCGGACAGATGCGCTGGTCATGCAATTTTGGTGCTCCCACAGATGCGCATGGTCTCAATGTACCCCGACACTATCCAGCACATCATCGTGGACAACAGGCCGCCCTGGATGGAGCCCGTGAACCGTCAGGAGACCATCTTGCAGAGCATGCACAAGAGCAAGATCTCGACAGTGCGCAGAGTTGATTACAGCGTGTACGACTCACCGAAGTACCTCCAGAAATTCTTCGAGACGGGCAACGAGACCGACTCCTGCAAGACCCTGGAGGACGCGCACGACATGTCGGACATCAGCGGGCAGCACATGTCGTCGAACACGCACGGCATGTTCAACTTCTTGGAGGCATGCTTGAACGCGGAGGCGGCCGTGGATCTGTGCGTCTTTCTCGACCCGGACATTGTTGTCTACAGAAAGGACAAGGGCATGATCGAGATGGCGCGCGAGGTTTTCGCGGCCCAGCCCACGGCGATCGCGCTGAACCCGCCGACGATGTGCAGCGCCTTCGACGGGGCGGCCTCGGGCACCTGCAAAACGAAGAGGCCGGGGATGCTCAGCCAGCGCTACCTGATCATCAACCGCCAGCGCCTGACGAGCGCCTTGCCTCTCAAGGTCCCGCACGAGGAGTTCAACGTGAACTTTGAGCACCTCTTCGGCGACTCTCTGCGCCGCGTCAACTCGGGTGGGCAGCGCATGATCTGCAACGGCGCGTTTGCGATCCACCCTTTCAGCGCCCGCTGGGCGCACTGCCGCAACAAGAAGGAAAACCTGAACATCGAGCGCCACGCCAAGCTCGTCGCGCAGACCGCGAAGAAGGAGAAGTCGGGCGACTACCACAGTTTCGACATGACCATGGTAGAGGGGCTCAAGGAGATGATCTCCCGCGTGGAGGCCGGCAAGCTGGCGAAGCCGCAGGAGTCTGGCGAACCCGCAGAACTCCAAAGCGTCTCCAACATGTGCGAGGACATGTGCGTCGACCAGAACCGCATCGCTCAGGGGCTCGCGTGGTAAGCGCGCCCTCGCCCGCCCAGTCTCTCCAGCCGTGGAGCCCCATCGTGAGCGACCTCTGCCACGCTGGGCTGGCGCAGCAGTGGGAGTATCTCGCTCTGCTCCGCCCTGTCACTGTCGTCTCGCCTCCGCGCCATGGGCGATGTCTGCCCCGAGGCCCTTCCACACGGCTGGCCGCGTCCTCACCTGGCGCACCTCCCTCATTTCTGCGGCCTGGGCTTGTTATCGGCGCTGGGCAGACACACTCGCGTTCCCGCCAGCTCCGTGCAATGAAGCCACAGGCAGCCCTGGCTCCTCACCCGAGTCAACAGGCCAAGACAAGCCAAGCCACCGCAAGCCGAGCCAAGAGGAGCTAGCATGAGCCACGGCAAAGATGAACGAGACCACGCTGAGCCAAGCTAGGTGTAAGTCGGGCCTGTCCCTCTACAGGAGGAATATTCAAAAATAGTCAACAAATACTCAGGGAACGATTTTTTTACGATGTTTGAGCTTTTTGGGGGTATTTGTTTGACTATGTTTATCTGTCGTCCAAACTCCGCGCCTGTAGGAGGACACGCCCACCTAAAGCTAGGTGTAAGCCTAAAGCTCAATATTTAGCCATAGCTTCGGCTAAGCTGGCCCGAGCCAAGAAACTTGAACGGTGGAATCCACATCGTGGTTGCAAGTGCAGGCGGAAACATTTTATATTCGAGTAACCCCAGCAAGCATTTAAGAACCCCCCCCCTTCCGGCAAATCGATAACCCTTCCGCACCCTGGAAGCGTTACCTGGCACCAGGAGCCCTCCTCCTCCTCCTCATCCTCCTCCTCCTCCAGCAGCAAGCGACATCCTGAGTCTTTCATGAGAGCCACGCAGATTTGAATTTCGAATTTCGATTGTAGTCCAGGGGCCAGGCCTCCGCGAATTTGTTGTGTGTCCGGGTGCTAAACCTATCGTGCGGTTATTTCGGCCCCTCGGAATATCGAATAAAAATGCGGTGCTAAGATATCGCCGGGGGGGTTCTTAAATGCTTCCTGGGGTTAGACGCATGAGTCAGCGAGTTGAATGAAACGGTAGCCAATGGAAACAATCATAATTACGTGAATGCAAGCGGGAGCTGGAAGCACGCGTTGCCGCCTGAAAACCAGCTATAAGCACGTGGAACCAAGCGGGCGAAAGCCGACCCACACGTGGAAGCACGTGGACGCAACCAGGAGCGCAGACGGACGCTGGTGGTTGTTTTGTGGCGGCGTGTGCCCACGCCCCCGACGTCTTGTTTTTTTCATGGCGCGACCCCCAGAGGTCCGGACCCATTCCCCGGGACCGGTTTCTCATGCTGAGTCGTTTCTTGCCGGTCCCGAGGCCCGGTATAAAGGCCCCCAGAGGCTGAAGAGAGCGACCAACCTCCCGTCGTGATTTTTTGCACAGCGCGAGGGGGTCTGGGTAGGATGAGTTGGAGTCTCTCTCAGGGGGCCACATGCGAACCCTACCCCTACCCCCCACGACTTCTGAGGGGCAGGGCGGGGTTCACTTCGCTCGGGAGCTCCCGAGCGAAGTGAACCCCACCCTCCCCCCCAGAAGTCGTGGGGGGTAGGGGTAGGGTTCGCATGTGGCCCCCTATCTCTGGAAGCGTGTGGCCAGTCGGCCAAGGCACTGGCCAGCGGCCGGCAGCGCTGGGGCCCGATCGGCGACCAGCTCCGGGCGGCCCGCGGGCCCTCGGGCGCGCAGGCGGCGCCGACGCTGCCAGCGGGCGACCGGCGACCGTGCTGCCTTGCCCGTGTGGCGCGCTGTGCGACCCGGACCCCTCGCGCTGTGGAAGAGTCACGACGGGAGGTTTCTCGCCATCTTCGGCCTCTGGGGCCGCCTTGGCGGGCCTCGGGACCGTCGGAAGACGACGCATTTCCTCTCCGTCCGCCTCGGGGGGCCCCCGCTGCAGGGGCCGGAGAGCCCTGGGGGCAGAGGCGCGCGCCCCGAGGTGCTCTGCCCGAGGGGCTCTGGGATGTTTGACCACCTGTCGCAGGCCCAGAGGTTGACCCCAACACCGATATCGGCGGTGTTCCTCCACCGAGGGAAGGAGAGCCCGATCTCGGTGATGGTGGTACTATCCTGGCCTCCAGGGTCACCGAACTATGACCACCAAAACACCGAGATCTGGGATCACCTGTCCCATGTGGAGGCCACCTCCGGTGCTGGTGCTGGTGCCCATTTCCGGGCCTCCAGACCTGGGCGGCTGGTCCCTCGCCCGGGGGCCCGGGTCTGGACGTCGCCTCCCCTGCCCGGGCCCGGCCCGCGGCCGCCCGCGCCGCCCCGCCGCCCGCCCGCCGTCGGGCAGGCCGGCCCCTGCCCGCGCCCGCCGCCGCGCCTGCCGCCAGGCTCGCGGAGGAGGTCGGCGAGGAGGCCCAGGCGGAGGAGCCCTTGGGGGGGGGGGGGCGAGCGCTCGGCGTCGCTTCGTGGAGGGGGAGGGGGGCGGCAGAGGGGGGGGGGGGGGCGAAGGGGCCGGCTTGGAGGAGCCCCAGAGGGGGCAAGAGTTGGGCGTCGCTTCGGGGGGTGGGGGGAGGAGCGGTCGATGGGGGTGGGGGGAGGAAACTCGCCTTTTCGGGCCCTAGAGTGAGGTCGGGCATGTCCCTCTACAGGAGGAATATTCAAGCACAGGCAGCAATGGGTCCGGGGACGATTCTTCGATGGGGGGGAAGACAAGTAGCCTCTCGGTGGGGCCCCGAAGGGCGCCGTGCGAAGGGTCCTGAAGGGCTCCTTTCCTGCAGCCCTCGCTGCCCCCAGTTTGGTGTCGCCACTGCCAGGAGTGAATTCAGCGCGGAGTTGTCTCTCCGTTTTTTCGTTTGATTTCTCTCTCGTCTCGTTTGCGCACGTCCATCGATCGTGCGGTTTTGCCGTCTGCGTGAATACCGTGTGGACAACCGACTTCGACGCTCCTCCGCACTCCTGTTCCTTCCTCGTCGTGTTCGTCGTTCTTCTCCTCCTCTTGTCGTCATTCTCATCATCTTCGTTTCCCGGCCCGCGGGAGGCTCCAAGAGTTTGCCACTACAGCCTCAACATGGTCCAGGAGAGCCCAGGAGGGCCCCCAAAAAGGTTACGAGGAGGCCCTAGGGCCCCCCAGCCCTGTGGGGGCCCAAGGCAGCCCGCACACCTGGCTCCTCACAGATGTTCCGACGCATTTCGGCCGTGGTGAGGGGGATCCAGCCTTTCCTCCGCACCTCCTTGCCTAATCTTCGACGTTTCGCGTATGCCCGCCAGCCCAGCCAAGAACAAGTCACCAGGCGAGTTGCCCTGATCAGGGATGTGTCGCAGCATGCGGCGCCGCAGTGAGCCGCAACCGTTTTCGCGGATTATAAAGAGGAGGAGGAGAGGAGAGAAGTGACATAGGAGAGACTAGGGAGGAGGACGAAGAGAGACATGATGAAGAGAAGCAGGAGGAGACTGAGGAAGGTGGGTACGGAGGAAATTACTTTGAAATGACACGTGCTAGAGCATGAAGAGGTAGGAAGAGAGAGGAGGAACTTGAGGGAGGTATGAGGAGGTACGAGGAGCCAGGGGGGAGGCAGCCGGCGCACCGGTGATCCGCGTGGATCACCCGTGCGTCGAGTGCCCTGGCAAGCGAGGGTGTATGACTATGCCGGAGGAGGTGGGAAGAGTAGGCGGACGTAGGAGGAAATCGGAGGAGGCAGGAACAGGCAGGAGGAGGTCGTTGCAGAGACGATGCCCAGGCAATTTGCGGTAATCAGGGAAGCGTAGCAGCATGTAGCGCAACTGAGGGGGGGGACAACCCTTACATTAGAAAGGACAGGAGGACGCATGAGAATACGGAGGATGTACAGGAACGGGGAGGGAGGAGAAGGAGGAGGAGGAGGAGGAGGAGGAGGAGGAGGAGGAGGAGGAGGAGGAGGAGGAGGAAACGGAAGAGGGGGGGAGGAGAGGAAAGACGAGGAGCAGGAAGAGGACGGATGGGAGAGGAAGAAGGGCACGACGACGACAGGAATCAATCATTGAGACTTGCGGGTCTTTCGCGCTTGTTAGAAGCCCCGTGGGACCATTTTTGGGCCATCGTGGGGCCATTTTGGAAACCTGTTGAGTCCTCTTGGGGCCCTCTTGGGGGTCTCTGGGGCCTTTGGGGGCCCTCTTGGGGCCATCTTGGAAGCCGTCGGTCAAGGAAGGGGGGGTCCTTAACAGGGCCCCCCCCGCTCTTGAGCCCCCACAGTCGCCTCTTGGGGCCATCATGGGGCGCTCTTGGGGCGCTCGTGGGGCGCTCTTGGGCGCCGATAGGGCCGTCTTGGCCCCTACTGGCCCCCTCTTCAAGCCCTCTTGTGCCAGCTTGGAGTTATTCTGAGGCCTCAAGAGCCCATCGGAAGCGAAAAGGCGAGAAGGCAGAACACGTTGAAGCGCACACCGGTCTTGAAGGATCCGGGCCTGATGGAGGCCTCCTTGGATTGTTCGAAGGACAAATGGGGCCGTCCTGGGGAGGTCTTGAGTGCTCTTGGAGGCATGCTGCAAGCTATATTGAGCCATCCGCCTTGGGATCTCTACAGCGATCTTGGAGGCCTTCTTGGGCTCCCTGAGGCCCTATTGGAGCCATCTCGGGCCGTATTGGGCTCTCCAACGACATGCGGCCACCCCCGTCCAAACCCATAGGGTAGGGGGTAGGGGGAGGGGAACCCCCTTAAGGGGCGACTTGTGTCTTCGGCATTCCCGAAGAAAGGGTTAGGGGAAGTAGCGTACACCCTCGGCGATGCTTAAGAAAACTCAAGTTTTCAGCCAGAGTCTCGATTATTTTTAATGCTTCAATGTAAATCCCACGATTTTGATAGAAGTTCTGTTTTTTTTTTTTTTTTTCAGATTCTGAGATGATGAATTTCTTAACCCATGATTTCGCAGGGCGTACCAACCAGTCGTTGAGTATGTGATTCTCCTTTCTGGCTTTGGGGTGCTGCGGGTCGTCGTCGTCCTCCTCCTCCTCCTCCTCCTCCTCCTCTTGCTCGCCCTCCTCCACTTCGTCCTTCTCGGCCTCGCTGT